CACGCTGGGAATGAGGAGGAGGACAAGGAGGTGGCAGCAGTGGTGACAGCCACAATGTCCCTGGGGTGCCACCCCGATGAAGAGGAGGAGGTGGCAGTGGCCATGACATCCCCGGGTGGGCTGTGTGGGGGGGGTGAGGGTGTGGTGGCAGCAGTGACAACAGGAGCAGCCACAACGTCCCAGGGGTGTCATCCAAGTGCAGAAGAGGAGGTGACCACAGCGGTGACGTTCCTGGGGTGTCCCCCCACTGGGGATGAGGAGGAGGAGGTGACAGCAGAGGTGACAGCGGCGGTGACGTCCCCGGRCTGTMAACCCGGTGAKGAGGAGGAGATGACCACARCAGTWACGTCSCCACAGTGTCCCCCTSYTGGGGATGAAGWGGAGGTGACAGCAWYGGTGACATCCCCAGCATGTSACCCCAGTGAGGAGGATGMRGAGGAGGAGGAGRTGACAGCAATGGTGACATCCCCAGGGTGTCACCCCGGTGAGGAGGAGGAGGAGGTGACGGCGGCAGTAACGGCAGCAGCGGCCACATCGGCCCCAGGCGGGCGACGTGGCGCGGATGAGGACGTGGCGGCCGCGGGCTGGCGAGCGCGGCGCAAACACGTGTTYGTGCTCAGCGAGGCCGGGAAGCCGATCTACTCCCGGCACGGCAACGAGGAGGCGCTGGCAGCCACCATGGGGGTCATGATGGCCCTCGTGTCCTTCATCCAGAGCGGCGGCAACGCCATCCGCGCCATCTGCTCCGGTACGGGGACAGCGAGGGGTGGACACGGGACCCCCAAAATCACATAGAGCACCCACGGGTACACCCGAAACTGCAAAGATCCACCCCCAGGTGCCCCTGAAATAGCCCCCACAGGTACAGCCATCCCTCCTCAAAAGAGTCCCCTGGGTACAGCCCACTCCAAACACATCCCACCCCCAAAACCGCCTCTCCCAGGTACAGCTGAATCTACCCAAACAGCTTCCCCAGGTATAACCAGCCCTGCAAAACTCTTCCTCCTCAACCCCCTTCTGGGTACTGCCACCTGGCTAAAAAACAACCTGCCTCGGTACAGCCATTCCCCAAACCCAACCACATCCTCAAAACGACACTCATGAAGGCACATCTGTCTCCTCCCAAAACAACCCAATCCCCCCAACCCCCTCCTGCCCTCCCTATGTGACCCCCTGTCTCCCCCGCAGAGGACCGCACGCTGGTGTTCGAGCAGCGGGGCCCGCTGCTGCTGGTGTCGGTGTCCCGCACGCGGCAGTCGGCGGCGCAGCTGCGGCGGGAGCTGGCGTTCGTGCACGAGCAGATCCTGTCGCTGCTGACCCGCGGGGGCATCGCCCGCGTCTTCGCGCGGCGCCGCGGCTTCGACCTGCGCCGGCTGCTGGCGGGTGCCGAGGCCGTGCTGGACCGGCTGCTCTGCGGGGCGGCGGCGGACGGGCGGCTGCTGCTGGGGGCCGCCCGCTGCCTGCCCCTGCC